ATTTAAAATACTAGCTATAAAAAAATACACAACACATGGTTTAGTTCGAAGAGATCGTTGAGCAAATACTAAACAATTGAGTAGATTTCCAATAATACCAGAAAGAAGAATAATGAGTGACATAGAGAAAGTAATTTGTCCAGATATAGACTGAAGTTTAGTAATATATGCCAGCGTTTCATTATTATTCGACATTTTCGCACTGAGAATTCAAATAGATTTATTTCGACGTAGTAAACAAGAATATAATATTGAAATGCACTAAGAATACAACACTTGACAAGCAATAATAGATTTACTAATGGAACTCGTTTCTCAGTTTTTTTTCCTTCATTAACACCTCATAAATCCGGCATATCTACTAATTGTCAATTGTGATATTTAAAAACTCAGACAAATTAATAATTAATTCTGAAGAAGAATCATTAAGAATAAGCAAATAGAAAGGAATCTATTATTGGTTGTAACTATCAGAATCGAATTGTAAAGGATAATGAATACTTTTCAAATATAAGAAGTCATTCAGTACAGTATTTTAAAAATGATGATGTATAATAGAATTGAAATGTAGTTTTAAAAGATTGATTAGTTTATCTATCTTAACTTTATGATTTGAATTTTTTGTTATTTTATATATACAAAGATGGAGTTAATAATATGAGAGAAATATTTATGATATCACAGTCGCAATAGCAGTAAGAATGAGATTGCATTTATCAAATTAATTTTTTATTAGTAAACTTCCTTCTCGTGATATAAATCCATCATATTTATAAGATTTTATTTAGACATAAAAATGAAATGAAGATTGATGTGTAAGAATAAGAAAAAACTTATATGAAGTCGTGTCTTTTTCTTCTATTATAACACATCATGTTAATATTTATAAAAGAAAGGTTAGAACAGAAATTCATGTTAAAAATTTCACAAGAGAATGTAATACGAGATTAAGAATGGATGAAGATGTGTGTGAGAGAAAAAAAAATAATACGATATACTTACATTCACACCATCTTAGATACATCTTCAATCAATCATCATTGTAGAAATGTTTTATCTAGCTCTGTTACGATTAGATTGGTCATAACATATATTTTTTATTAGCTGTACAAACTGTATGTGTACGAAATAAATATTATCGATAGATATATATGTGTATAACTACACCTGTATGTTTTTTTTCCTTTTCATATGATTTCATGATCAAATAACCTTTTTTTATCTTTAACTCTCGATTATCATATAAAATAGGTGAATATGAAGTTATGCTAGTTTA